CATCCACATCAAGTTGAGGGCGAAAATCCCAATCCACCCGTTGTAGATAGTCCTATAAAGCTGACATATTCAATCGTTTGAAATTCCAGCGCCCATTGTTGGTGGGATATCTTAGCTCAGTTTTGCTGACAAAACTGAAGGCTATAACGGCTTGATCGCTTTTCTCCAGTGAAGCCAGAATTGAGAGGTTATCAACTAAAACTCTTTGTTTGTAAATACCCAGTCTAAGCGCGATGGTAAGACATTTATGGTTGCCAATAAAGCATTTGAAGCGAAATATATTTGCAACAATCTGATCACACATATACTTGTCATGAACATTTATACATGAAAAATAAAAACGTTAACCAGACAAATGGACAATAAGAAAAACAGAGACAATCAGGAAAATTTTTCTGAAAAGTGAGAAAACCACTACGTTTGTTGATTAAACGATATTTCCAGGGTACGTTTAGGGTAGGAACAAACTGTTTTAGAACTCGTAAAAAGGGGTTTCAATTTTCGTACGCTCAAGGCTCTAGTAAACTTTAGTATGCACCCCTGAACAATTTTGTGCAAAGCCATAAAACGCAAGTTGACATCAATTTTTTGATCTGTTTCAACCAAGTGTTTAGCAATAGAGGACGACGGATGTGTATCATCTACTCTTACTGAGTCATTTGATTCCATCTATTTATCCAACCATTTAAAAACATGTTCACAAACTCTAACCTCAGAATCGCAATTGCTACTCCCAATGTATGTGACCACACACGTATGTAGAATATTAAGCACAGTGGAATTTATTCAAAACTACACTCTATCTCAGTTTTCGGTGAAGCGTTGATTGACTTCTGAATGGTAAGTGGTGTAGACAGGCTTTCTCGTCTTCTTGGTATATGACGATACTTTGACGTCTATGAATTTGAGAAACAATCATTCTATATCAGGCAGAGTTTAGACACCTACCTATATGATTTCACTGGTGTCTAGAGCGATGAAAATATTAGTTAAGGCGGCGGTAGTTCAACATCTACTTACTAATAGTCCCATCTCGGCCTCCCAGCATAAATTTCTTAGGTCCAGATCATACGATACATGCCTAGTAGACTACCTGAATGATATAACTCTGAAACGAGACAACGGACTCCTTGAGTCAGTCCTACTCTTAGACTTCTAGAAAGCCGTTGATAAGGTCCCACACAAAGACTTCTCGTCAAACTAAAGTCGTTCGGAGTAAACAATCCACTGTACTCATGGTTTGCTCCGTTCTTAACAGAACGTAAACAGATGGTAAAGTACAATCACTATCTCTCATCACCTAGACCGATAACTAGTAGAGTCGTCCAGGGAAGCGTATTAGGTCCACTTTTGTTTCTTCGGTATAAAAACGATATATGTAACATCATAAAATTTGGGAAACCATACTTATGGTCGTACAGAGATAGAACAAACTACAAGGTCGTTGTGTTGGATTTCCATCAAAATATATTAAATGCTTGACAACGCTGTTATCTCCAACACCTTTTGAAACGGAGATCCGAAATCCAGTCAAGCCATGAGCTGAGAATGAGGGAATTTGAAGAAATACTTGGAAAATTGTCCTTTGGTCAAGAAATATATGATCAAAGTTAACTATGTGTTGCAAGAGATGCAAAACATAATGCACCCACACTTTGCCTGGTGCGGATATTTGCCAGGGCGATTTAAGCTATGGTGCGTCCAGTAAAACTAGTGAAGTCAGCACGAATGTCAAAGACCCACTGGACTTTGTTTTGGAAATTTATTTGACGCTCCACTTTTATTTGATTAAGAAATTGAATGTAAGATATTTATGGTTGGTAGAAATAGTACCTTTTTATCGATCTCAATGGGAGCCCGGTGTCAAACCTGTCGACTGGTTATTGAGTGAGTAGATAGCTTATCTCACATAAAAAATGTGATGAAATGAGATGAAAACCTGTTCATGGGCATTTAGTAAAGTGGGTAGTCTGTTTTAAACAAAGTGGATATAACTGCAGCAGTAAAACTTGTCCGACTATGTCAGCTGGAGGTAATTGGATGTGTTCTTTAGTGGTAAAGTGGGATGAACTGACAGAGTCACATTGCATTTTGTGCGATACAGATCACTTATCTCAAACACCGAAACTGAATTCTCCACTAAGAAGTCAAGATCACACTCCTACCTAGGTCTCTACTCCTGATAAGACTAGCAAGAAAAAAGAAATGAGTGGAAATTATGTTCCAAACTGCTCGTGGTGCTGACTACTGAAGAGAAAAAGCATAAAAATGATCATTGTATCATATGCTAGTCGCTCGTTAGAACCAGAAGCCCAGCATTTGAATGTAATTTCAGTAGTGTCTGGATTCACTGTCGTTGTGATACAACTGTACCAAGGCAGCAATGTGGATTTTTGTTAAGTCACCTCAGTCCGTGGTTCTGGTGGTTTGCATGCAGCGTAGAAAAAATACGCAAACTGAGGCATTAAAAGAGAAACAAAGGACCTCATCAGAAATAACAGCAACCATTCATACCAGTTTACCAGATTCGTACAAGACAGGCTCAGTTAAACATACAATAATGAAAGCCACAACCCAAGATACGAAACCAGAGAAACTACCGACATTTGCGAATGCCCCAGTATCTGTTAATAGTAGGTGGTAGTACATGAGCGTTGAGAAGGGAATTAGCGAATTGCATGCGACAAACTATAGACCGTAAGACATGCCGCTACAAGATCAACAAACGCCAAAGAACCAACGTGCATGGTGGTTTATAGACCCAGAGCTGGCAAGTGGTAGTCTGTATGAAGTCCACAAACCCAATATCGAGCAGTGGCTTTAGCGTAGCACGGATTTTCGCACCACTACGGTAGCTTTTCTTCACTACCCCGCCCGTTACAGTTCATAACCATTACGTTTCTGCGTCTGATGGCAGTGAACTTTAGAAACAGACAAGACTCCGCCAAGGATCTTCAGGCCTTGTACTGTAGTGTCGGTTACTATGTTATGCACACACAACTTGTTCTGTCTTCTGGGCAGGCCAATTTATTTATTCTTCTTGAGTCACGTTTGACCTTGTTAATCATTTACCTATCAACCCTGACCGTTTTTATATGAGTGTATGCGTGTACATAGTATCATACTCACCACATATCTGTAGCATAATTTTGTGCAACTATAAATATTGATTAACGCTTGATTAAATGGAGTTGGCTCACACGCCATCTTTACTGCGCATCATTTCGCTTCGTTCTCTTCTCTTTGCTTCTCCAACCCGCTTTGCTCTTTCTTTATTTCGTCTCCCTGATTGACTGTCCAAATCAATGAGTGCATGAAATATACATAATCAAAATTCATTCTCGTACTGGACTTATTTAATTCAGTTTCACATCATCGCCATTTAAGTCGATGATATTATGCGAGGATTGACGATATATATATATATATATATATATATATATATATATCGACAGCAATCATTCATACGATCTAATTGGAGTCAGATCTCAGGCAACCAAAGTGGTGAGCCCGTTGACAATATCGTGCGGTTCAATTGACGTCAAAATGAAGGGCTTTATTGGAGTACAGCAAAAATTTGACACCTCCAGTCACATCAGATGTTGTGAAGGCGTACCCTGATAGGCAAAACGTCAGTAAGAAAGCCCAAAAAACACACCTTGATGCTATTCGGCCTTGATCAACAACTCACGGTAGAGAACGCAGAGACAATCTACTTACAAACTAGAAGACTGATGATGAAACAAACCATTAAGTGCCTCTATAGCAACCTAAGACGACTAAGGAGCAGGTCGGGGAGAATCAGAAACATATGCTTTTAGTTAGACCCGGACATCATAGTCCTCACTGAAACATGATTATCACCTGACGTCACAAATGAAGTGCAAAACTATGGTTTATTTCGTTATTCCTTCTGCTCTAATGATAGACTTAATCCCAAAATTGTAGATTTGTCATGAAGTGACTATCTAATTTACATGATCTTACGTGGCAACCACGTCATTGCCCATTCTGACTCGTCGCATCGTAAAAATCTGTGATACAGCGTTAGATGTTTGAAAAGAACACATTTGGGCTGGAGATAGAACAATATATTTAATGTGAATAAAAGCGATAAGTTAAGGGTCAGGGAGATACCTAACCAACTTCCGAGTTTGTTAAAAAGAATCACATCCCTGTTCCCCGAAATCTGACCCATAATCCTGAGACAGTGCGCAGAAGCCATCAGTACACAGTTGCACAACACGTTCAGGCACCTACTAGATTCTCACCAACTCCCAAGCGAAAGTGGACAGGCCATTCTTTCTCCAGTTGACATAAGGAGGGATAGAAAATGCCTAGCCTGTCGCAGACCAGTCTCACTATCCCAGATACTGTCAGAGTTAATGGAAGGACTGGCTAGTGAACAAATATGGGGATACATAGTTAAAACAACATCCTCCACCAAGCCTAACGTGAGTTCAGGAAGGACAGGTTTTGGGCATCCAATTCAATCATAACATGAGAAGACTAGACAACCTGTTGGAGCCGTCAGATACCAGTTCATGTAATATTCTGCGACTTCACAAAAGCCTCCAACTTCCCATAATGAAAGCTGCGAAGATGGGTTTCACTGACTCACTTACATCCTGGCACTGAAACTACCTAGAGAACATGGCATTTCGTAGCAAGGAAAATGGAGTGCAGGCAAGAATTAGATGAACCAAGCCGACCCAATACGAGGATATTACCAGAAAATCATCACCACGTTCCCCAAGGCAACTCTCGGAAGATCTTACTTCAAAGAGCAAAAAAAGGGCATACACCTACTTTCCTCATTATGATCTGCCCCCATTTGAAATGCTTTTCCAATCAAAGTGAATTCAACCTCCTAAGTGGACAGTGTTCATAAGAAGCAAGTGCAAAACAATCAATCGGTTTATACAACCTCATGGCAAAGATATTGGATATTGGACTGAAACTGGACATTTGATATTTTAGCGGTTATTTGTGGAAAACTAATGACCTTGTTGAGTCGGAGATGTGTTTTCAATCTTTCTCCTCTAGTTGAGGTTTCAGCTGCACAGCTGCATTTGGGACACTGCAATCCAAAATATAAACTAGTTGTTAATCCTCATAAAGAAGATACGATTAAAAGTGGTTTTGAGAATGTGACAAGATGGCTTATAGTAGCAGATATATTGAGAGGTACTAAATTTACTGATAAACAGTATTGATTATCACAGGTCTACGGTTAACCCTTGGTATGGTGTTTAAGGAGCCTGCAACCTTAAACTACCCTTTCGAGAAGGGTCCTCTCAGTCCAAGATTTCGTGGTGAGCATGCTTTACGTAGGTACCCTAGTGGTGAAGAACGGTGCATCGCTTGCAAACTTTGCGAAGCTATATGTCCAGCTCAAGCAATCACTATTGAGGCTGAGCCAAGAGCGGATGGGAGTAGAAGGACAACTAGATATGATATTGATATGACAAAGTGCATTTATTGCGGATTTTGCCAGGAAGCGTGTCCAGTAGACGCCATCGTAGAGGTAACCAGGTTGTTCTTTTAAAGTGCTTACTATACTCGTAGTGATAAAGAGCATTTGGCTAATTCTCTAGCCTGCATACCAAGCTTTCATTAACGTAACTTTGAGTTGATACTATTAGTGATCACTTCATTACAACAAAATCCAAATCTAGCAAATAATTGGTAATATTTTGTAAAGGTTTTAAGTTAAGAAATAATATTTCACTTGTAGAATCTCCCTTGTAAGCCAACTGTTTCGTATTCCCACTTTTGTAATAAGGGAAATGTATGTATTCAGTGGCTGACCTAGCGAATACTTTTGCTGAATTTTACTGTTCGTCTAGTAAGCCCTGGTATTTTTAAAGCTTCTTGTTCATATCTGAATTTTGAGTTTAACAACATGGTGTAGCCCGTTCAAGAGCGATATCAATGACGTCTCAGGCAGCACACGAACGCTTATTATTACTCGAAATGATAGAATTTCCACCCTTTGGTAATTTTAAAGCATTAGAAGATTTACACCAATAACGTATGGCTAGTTTAATAGAACTTTTGATCCTTCTAATCGGCTCCTAGACTCGTGCAGATTACATCACAAATTCATTTTCACATTTTCTGACTTCGTGAATTATCCACTTATGTTCCTATTTGTTACATCTTTATTTCACATTCGTTTGGCAGGTGACTTTAAAGTACTATTGTCAGTTTTACATTCAACTTAGATACCAATAAACCGCATCCACCTGTCATATCTTTAATCTCAAAAATAAAATTGTCAAGATATCAGCTTATTCAATGTGTTTGGGAAAAACTTTTCATATACTCGGATATTCTTTGTTAGATTAGGTAATTTTGAGGGCAGACATCAGGTTTCTACTTAATCTGTTGTTTTTTGGCAGAGATAATCAGTAAAAGGAAATGTGTTTAAAATAACATTCACTCACTTATGATCACTTTAAGGTTTAGCAAGTTTCAAATACCTTTTTCTTGTGTAACGTCTTAAATATTTCTGTAGAACGACTTCTAAACTCTACGAACTGATCACCTACGACAAATACTTTCTGTTTCTTTGCTTATCTAAACTCCGCCTGGATAACGAACGGTTGGGCATGGGGTTGGCGACCCCGTCCCGTAGAAAAGCAACTCGCTAAAAAATGCTAACCAGAAAAGAACAAGCGTAAGTAAGTTTGTTTATCTAAAATCGTTGCAATGGAATTGTGACTGACTCAATAAAATACCTTTGGACCCTTATATCTAGTCTTATTAAATCAAAGTCACTCGGAATTCCCCCACTAACTTCGGGTATGAGTGAACAAAATCGCATAGTCGGTTAGCTTTTCATATTTTAAATTTATAGGTGTCTTGGATTCAATTAAGGTGGTCAGCTTAAAATTTATGTTTATTTCTGTTTCTGGGAATATCATGGATTTATGACTATCTTAATTATCGCTTATCTCTAAAACTGATTACCTAACGTTCCTCTAATTTTGACACTGGGATCTGGTCAGCAAGTAAATTTTCTATGGTTTTCATGTATGTTAACAGTTAAATGACATCCTTCGAAATTACTTTATTTATTTTATTTTATCACATAGATATTGGTACAAGGGGGCACCAAATACAATGCGCCACACAAATCTCAATTGATATGTGTGAGGGCTGTGATACTGCCCGGGTGCCCAAACCGAAGCAGGTGGTTTTCTTAGGGGGCCACACCCCGAGCCTTCGACCTGAACGTCTGACCCACAAGGCAGTGGAGCATCGTAAGAAGATGCAGTCCCATGGTAGCCGGTGACCAAGAAATTGGTTCATACGCCATTTGTTCCCGCAGAATACTGGAACCCGTGTGCACCATTGATTTGGGATCCGGTTAAAGCGCCGGACATTCGCTTTTCGTCCTCTCATTTTCGTAAACAACACCCCCGCCACGAGAAGGCAGTGAGTAGGACTTCTCTGGCAGAGGCTATATACGCGTGGCCATGTGAGAGCATTTCGAGAGGGAGAGTGGACTCTCCCCATTCTCGGCCATATCAGGGCATTTCAAATGTATACTTAACCTTTGAGTCTCCAGATCTTAGGAGCTATATGTAAAATCAATAAAAGCTCTTACACACTTTTCAGTTCAAATAGTTGTCAACGTTTAAAGTGGGGTCGGAGACTTATGAAAAATGTATGTAATTCATCCTAATTACTAGCGAAATAGCACTTTTGTATCAATCATATGATAATTAACTGTAATATGATTTTGTATGTTGAAAATAAGGTTGTTCGCGTTATATGTAAAGACGTTCGTATACCTATTGAGTTCACAAATATTCAGCTAATCATCTGTTTAAGGAAAATGTTAATCCCTTACATTTCACTCTGATTGTCAGAATTACATTGCCATGGGATGAGAAGAGTCACCTCTCTCGAAATGCTCTCATATGGCTATGAGTATCCAGTCACTACCTTCTCGCAGTAACCCTGATTCCAAACGAATGGTGCACATGGGCTCCAGGATCCTGAGGGAACAAATGGCGTATGAATCAATTATTATTATTATTGGTCACCGACTACCATGGGACTGCATTTTCCAACGTTGCTCCATTGCCTTGTGGATTAAACCTGTAGGTCAAAGGCTCGAAATGTGGATCCCTAAGAAAACCGCCTGCTTCTGTTTGGACACCTGGGCAGTATTCCGACCCTCACAAATCGAATGGTCTGTGTAGTGCACAAATATTTGGTACCTCCTTGTAGCAATGTTTATGTATTTAAATAAATAAATCGGAATCACATCTTCCCCAGCACCCTTCATAACGCTTTTTGTCTTGTTATTTGCTCAGATCGCCCACATTCATCAGTTCTCAAAGGAAGAATACTTTATTTAGGCCTATATCAAAACAAGGTTACGTTCTTTTTTTGGTTGAGAATCCTTTAGATGCATCAGCAGAAATTCGAGCTTTGGTTTATCGGTGTCTTCATTCCACAGATTGTTTTGTCTTGTTATTTTAAAGTTGGTCGGAGAGTTCAAATCATGAGGTAGAAAAGTCTAACAAGAAAAAGTAACTAGACTAACCTCAGTAGTTATAAATCTTATGGTTCATTTGCACATTTTAATTTCATCATTAAATCAGCATAATTGTATTTTGAAGTCTAAAACACAGTAGTTATGCTTTTAAAAGATATGACTTTAGAAAATACAATTCCCCTTTAAGCTCAACGAGGTGTCAAAAATGAGTAGTTTTAAATTTCAGTAATTGTAAGTCTAAAATACGAGCCAATTTCTTTCTCTCAGTCTTGATGAGTTTAGGTGTTTTATGTTCTTGTATTTATTTTATCAAATGTAGCAAGTTAGACTAATACATTACTGTAAAAGCTATTACTCTGTTCAGTCTAACTTCCTCTGTACAATGAATGAATTTTTACTAGGAGGATATGATTTTTTTGACAGGTTATGTCAGTTTAACTGTAATCTTAACAATTGTTCGTGTGTTAAAGATAGAACAGTTCTAAGCACACTTCTCTGATAGATAGATAAATAAGTTTCATAAATCACCAGACTACAGTTTAAGCATAGAGGCTCTTCGGTGTCTCGAAGAAAATCAATGTCACGAGAAAAGTCACTACCTTTTGAAATGAGTTAGAAACATAATTTTTCTAACCTCCCACTTCCAAAACCCTTTTGTGCTCTATGGATGGCGTTGTTACTTTTGATTGGTCTTATAAGGCAAAATATTTTCAGCTAGGATAACTAATATTCTAGTTCGGGGTGTGGCCCCCTAAGAAAACCACCTGCTTCGGTTTGGGCACCCAGGGCAGTATCACAGCCCCCACACACATCAAATGAGATCTGTGTGGCGCATATATATTTGGTGCCTCCTTGTACCAATATCTGTGTTAAAATGAATAAATAATAATATTTTAGTTTGTTTTCTCTTTTGAATTGCAGGGACCGAACTTCGAATATTCTACTGAAACACATGAAGAATTACTGTATAATAAAGAAAAATTGCTGCAAAATGGTGATAGATGGGAAGTCGAAATCTCAGAAAACCTGAAAGCAGATTATGTGTATCGATGAAGTATCATTTAGTTCATTTGGTTTGTAAATGATTTAATTCACAGGATCTATGCACTACTAATTTCATATTTAAACAACCAATATCAACTTTTCTCACATGTTAGATTGTTAACGAATTCAAGACAACTGGGTATTCCTAGGTACATTAATTTAGAATAAAATAGAGCTTTTGGCTTTGTACCCGTTTCTCTTGTTTTTTGTGCGTATATTTCAGTGAGTCGTCTACAACTTAGGACCAGGTACATATATGCATCGGTCCAAGTTGTCATGTCTCATTAGCACAAGATGAACACCGGATTCACAGAAGCAGTTACTTCAATGGTAGTAATATATATAAAAAATATTACATATTAAAATATGATACAGAGAAGAATTAGTTCGTAGAAAGAAAGGTGTTAAGTAATCTTTATCTCCTAGCTTAACGGAAGGCAAAGAGTGTATACACCTACGCCATTGTGATCGGTTCTGAGCCATGTCACCCAGTCTCCAACCGTTGATTACAATAGTCGCGCGGACCCCAACCAAGTAGTCTGCATCTACCAACATGGCTCAGACTAGGAGTTAGTGACTTCAAGGACTGATGCCACGTTTTGGTTTGGCCGCCCATAACTTTATGCCGTTCATCTCCGACACTAGTCAGCATTGCTTGTCGTGGTAATTGGTGTTCAGGCATACATAACACGTGGCCCAACCATCTCGATCAATGAAGATTCACAATCTCAACTGATTTACCATCATTCCCTAGTACCCTGCGTCTAACCTCACTATTACTTACCTGATGATCCCAGCAGATGCAAACAATATTTCTAACACATCTGTGATCAAATATTTTAACTTACAAGTATCCTTTACTTGTCCCTTATTTGATAGACGGATATTTTGCCTTCGCCATAGGAGACGTAAGTTGGCAATAGCCAAACGAGCTTTTTGAATCCGTGCAGTAATTTCGTCAGACGCCAACTCATTAATGTTGATAAGACTTCCAAGATAAGTGAAATTTTCAACGCGTCCGACTACACCTGCGCATATATATATATATATATATATATATATCGTTCTAAACCCATTGTCGAGTATAGGGAAGTAAGACAAGCTTACTGAAGTATATATACTACCTAACACTGGATACTATCCATTTCCAAAAATCCATGGCTACTGTAAATTAGATTGCACTTATATTGTTGAAATTAACGAAGTTATTCACAAAAATTTTCATTTGTCTCCTTAGAATCATTCGTAGTAAGATGAAGTTAAATACTACCAATTACGCAATCAGTATCCAACATGTTATTGATAGGTTCTTACTCACCGAAGATGTTTAAGAGGAATCAGTCATTTCAAAGTTCAAAAGATAGGGACCAATAAAGTCAAAAACGTCGGTCTTATTAGTTGAATTACCTGTTCGATGCTGTTATGAGAAGTATGCTTCTGGATGGTTGTCTAGGAAATCCCCATTTGTCATAAATAATGGGAAAATCAGTCCAGAATTGTTTGTTGCTATAGTGCTTAGTTTCAATTTATAAGCTTGGGTAGTATAAGTTTTGTGATAACGAGCAAATCAATAGTATGGGTTAATTGGTAAGAAACCATCATTCTTTCACAACCTTTGAATTATTGAAGTAATTGAAAAGCTCACTTTCGCGTGAAGTAGATACTAATAATGACCAGAGCAACAATGAATGTTTCCCAATTACGGCTACTCTAAAGAACAAAACAACCACCTGAGCTTTAAGTCTTCTCCATCATTACTGTTCTTACAATTTGTGTTGTATGGAGTTCTATGTGGGTTGAGACTTCTCGAATAAACTATCCCCGACAACTGGGCTCGTCACTTTGAAGCGGTACCTCCCGAATTTATTTTGCTATCCATCAAAACCACTTTACTGACTAGTGAACATGCATACTTTTGCAATTACTATAGAAGGTGGCTTAGAGAAATTTTACTTCAATTAATTTTGCAACTGTGACGGTTGTAGTAACTAGGTGTAGTAGGTCACGATGTAGTAGACAAGAACACCAATGGGGACAATCGAATGTATTTAGGCACATAATTACAGAGCATCTCAATAAAATCTGAGAACCATATATTAAATCGTTAATTTGCAAAATATCAATCAAACTTGACTGTTCCTGTTGCAAACATCAATCCATTGTCTCAGATTTCATTGTTCATGCGTTTCGTTCCCGTTCTTTCCTGATCGACCTACTAAAATACGTTCTATGCCTGACCACCGTCATATACTATTTGTGTGGATATAAGTTACCCACACCAAAACGATTGTTGTTCACAGGACAGTTTAATTATCTCTCGTAATTCCGTGATAATATTTCAGTGTTATCACAACAGCACATACGTCTATCTACACTTTAAAAAAGCGCCTATATTGGAAGGACGATTTACATAACAAAATTAAATTGGTTGGAAGGTATTCAGAATTTACTGTGGAAGATTGTTTATCCATTTAGCTATTTAATTTTGTGCCTAACGGAGTCGTGATATTTAGTTATTAGTCTCGTATGTATTAACTACTTGCTAAGATTTAAGTAGCCAGGCGATTTATAGAAGTAGTAAGCAGGAAAACACGTATTCATAAAATTATGACAGAGGAATACTAAGCAGGCGATTAGGGTTTCATAAAAGTATTCTTCGTTGGTGAGTGCCGTTAATTAAGAATTCAGCATTTAGATACTGTGAAACTTCCTTTGATCATACAATATATTGTTTTAGTTGTTAAAAAGCATATTTTTTTAACATACTATGTGTGTCATGTGTATATTTGATTAAGGTAACAAACTAAAAGTATCATTCTATGCTTTGTTTAGGCACATTTGTTGAGTGAAGAAATACAGTGAATATGGACAAATTTCTTTTATCTAAATATTGATTGAATGATTTGGCTTTAGGCTAGATTCCTGAAGTTCTGATGATGAAGTTTAACGAAGTCAAAATCGAGATACTCATTAATGACATTGAATGATAATCGCGCCATGTTTCAGATTAAAGAAAAATTAAGTTGTGAACCATCGGCTTGTGGCTTTTCTGTTTATATATGTTTTCCTGGTCGGAAAAATTAAACGCCCTTAGTTCCATCTCATTTGGGGTCATAAGTGTGCATCAGTAAGAAATCTCAAAGTATGACTAGATACTTGCCTTCTACTACATGGTATTTGGCAGTTTTGATTTGGGGTAAAAACGAACTGACTAACTATTTAGTCATCTATTGATCTGTTTATTTTGCTCATCACTATTTCTTAATAATGTGCTCTTTTCTAATCATCATATCACAATAACAGATAGAAAGTGAAAATCGGTAAAGAAATCAGCAACCAAAGTAAACATATTTGCTTCTTTCATTTTTTGACAAATGACATATGCCTAGTATGCGTGACTGTCGAGCTGTCTTCATCATTCTAAAATTTATTATTACTGTGTGAAGCTTCTGTACATTAAAAACTGGAAGGATGAGAGATTTAAACGTGAAAAAATTTAATTATAATCAACAATTTTCCCAATCAAATCAAAGGGAAAAGAGAATAGGGGATAAATGCATAAAATATTCAACTTGAGTATAACATTTAGCGCAAAATTGACTGTTGGTTAGTAATTTACTCTACACGCGAATGTATATGTATTTACAATCAGATAATTGTTTAGAGATTAAATTGAAGACAACAAAGTAAAAGCAGAAAACTTAACGAGTATTAAACAACTCTTTTATCAATACACTTATTTTTTGTTTGAAGAACTGTTTAGCATTAAGTGACTGATATATATAAAGAAAAACACGCATGACTACTGATATCTGTCTACGTGAATGCTTTTCATCATTATCGGTCATCAGTTCTACAGTAATGTATGTGTATTCATTTAGTTTATAGAATCAAAGAAACTTGTAGAACAAAATAGGAAACAAACAACTGATTATCAAAGCGAGATTCATCTCTTAAACAAAAGAAGACCCAGTAACGTATATGTAACTGAATACTTTCTAACTAGGGTAATGATTATTTACTTCAATGTAAAAAACAATTCATATTCCCACCTTTTCTTCTGGTTTTTAAAAGAATATCTATATGATTTTGTTGTTATTGTACATTCATCTATTTGTACTAATTTTATGCGTGTATACTCAAGTTGACAGGTTCATTTGACTTGTTTTCTAACTAAAAAAAATATATGTATGTTTCTTAAGATAGAGCGTTTTTATTAAATAAAACTTACTTTATCCCATAGTTTCATATAATCATGTCAAGATAGGTAATAAAACACGCACGTAAAGAATGCCAAATAAAATGAAATGTTGAATGATATATGATATGATAAAGACCGAGAGAGAGAGAGAGGTGTGTTACAATTGTAATGAATTATTTTCAATTGATTTGTCATCACATTTGCTAGTTGCGTGTTGTTTGTTTACAAATATTTGTACAGATTTTCTACTTCATTACTATCAATTTCATTATTATTATTATTCAATAACTAGTCATAAATTAAAGTATTTCAATACTAATACAATTTCAACACAAATATGTATTAAGTATGTATAGAAGTATAAAAGTGAAAAGTAGTTTTTTTCCTATTACTTTATAGTGTATTGTGTATAGACAGATAAGATGTTGTTATCTTTCAGTTTTTTCTTCGAATTTGTATTAAAATATAAATTTCATATTATAAATGTAATTATTTTGATGACAAGTTGAAAGGAGGGGAAACATTCTGGAGAATACTTATCAAATATATGTATGCCATTAGAAAAAATCTGGGTGTGCGTGTATGTTCGTGTAATTGTAAGTATCTATTTAGTTGTTTAAATAACTAACTTTATAAGTAAGCAATATAATTTTTTTGAAGGATTAATTTAATTTGTAACTTCTCTATAGTGTAATGAAACAACACCGTTGATTCAAAAAGTATTTATTTAAACATTCCTTTTCTGTGTTATAAATACTTGGGTAAAACCTTCAGGAAATTAATCAAACGTTAAGTGCCGTTTAGAGAG